TTGTATAGAGGGCATGAAATTAAAGTGAGTTTATACTTAGAATTCACGTGTGACCAAGTACAACTCTAAACACCTTTATTACTTATAATAATATAAAAATATAATGCTAGTACATGTATAGTTGTATGTAATTCTTTCATTAACTTTTAATTGCAATACGAAGGAGATGCACAATATTTAAAGAGATGAGAGAGATAAAGAAAGAGATACGAGGAAAAAAAAATTACCCCATATAATGAAAAGAGAGATAAAAATTAAAAAGCATTATTATTGTTGGTTAAATAAAGTAATGTTGCTACTAATATGTGGCTTCTTAAAAAAAAATGTTGCGATTAAAAAGAACAAAGGAAGGGTGTTAGAAGGAAGGAAAGGGGGTTGAACCCATCTCAACTCAACCGAACCCCATAAAGAATAGAGTAGGCCATATTATGTGAAATGGAAGCAAAATAAATAAAAAAAGAAAAAAACAAGGTAGAAAGAAGAAGAATGTAAGATCGTCATAAATCCATGATGATTACCTTGTGAGTGAAGTTTAAAAAACCTCCTCCATGGGGCTTTGATAGCGACATTATATGGAGTCAAAGACAAGAAGACCAACCATCGCCATCACTTTTTCTTTTTTTTCTAAGACTTATTCTCTTAAAACTATTAGGCATTTTATATTTTCTCTGGCTACATACTTACTCCGTTTTAGTAATATTGTAATAACAAAGACTCAAGTATCATCTTCATCCTTTTCGTGCTCAACCTTAATCTTTCGCTGATATTTGGTTGTAGAAAACTCAGTTGATGTAAATTGGTCATCTGCATTCATGTCATTAACATCATTAAAACACCTTTTTTTGATTCGGCGTGGCACCACTATTTGAACAATTGTCATCAGAGTGCTCGTTGCATATGGTGCTAGAAATCTGTAATTTTAATTTATGTATTAGTGATATTAAAAAAAATTGCTAAAAATTTAAAATTATATTTATATTTAAGATGACCATAAGTACTTAAAAAAAACCTAATAATATTGATACCTGACCAACCTTATTGCAGTTATTGCCAATTTGTGCAACTTTTGAAGTGACATCAATATCCTCATGCTCGTTAAACTTCAAACATAGGAAAAAAAATGTGTATCATGAACTACCTAGAAATCTTAATCATAAAGCTAAATAATGTGAAAATAATAATAATAATAATAAAAACAAATATTAATTATTAATCATCATAAACCTTAAGCCGAAATGAAGTAACAACCCTATAAGCATTGTCCGACTCCTCAAATGATTTTATTAAGTTTTTATCTTCAGACATCTTCATAACTGTGAATAAGGGACAATCTTGTCAAATATTATATTCAGAAACTTTTATCTTAAACAAACATTTCCTTTCTAAGAGTTCATTCAAATCTTTAGGAATCAAATCCATATTATCTCCATCCGGCATCATCCCAAATTCATGATATCAGAATTGGCATTAGTAATCACAAATTTAATTCAATTTACTAAAAAATTAAAATATTTACCATTACCTTTTTATCAAGGTCGAGGTCTTTCTCAAGAACTTATCAAGTTGCTTCCAACCTCTAGATATAAGGCGGGTGGTTTTTTCTCAAGGAAAAAATCCAGAGAGAGGTAATATTTTCAGACAAGTGCTATTTACTGCCAAGAGTCGACAAGCTCCGTTTCATCTGTCATGTCTTGTGATGTTATTTTGCACTGCCTAATGTAATATAGTGGAAAAATAACACCTTAATTTTGTTCAATGTCTTCTGCTGAAAGTGAAGAAAGACTTATAAAGAAACATTTTGATGTCATGATTATGTATCACCATCAGTGTCTCTGAAATGGTGCTCCTTGAATAGTTGAATGTGCAGCTTCATTGCTTCTTTGAGTTGTAGTGTAGAACTGTAGACAGACACCAGCTTTTATATCCCGGTGTACATGAAATTCCTTTCTAAATTTGCCAGCTCTTCTTGGTGTTTACAGATTGATGAGATTAATTGATGTAGTTGGGCATGGTTAGTCATTAAATGGGGTCACTACGCATGCCATCTACAAGTTCGTAACGCGCAATTAAGACGTAGGGCCTTTGCTTCATAAGTCAAAGTTTTTTTGGCATGCACTTTACCTATGTGCTTCTCAAGGGGAATTACCTTTGTGTTGCTGCTGCTTGATAAAAATTATTTAAGGACTGAGGCATTTACTTATTGAAGTTGCCCCAAAAAGAAAGTGTGATAATTAAATGAGCATTGAAGAAGTTGGAAGTGTAATTATATCATGCAGGCTTTCTGAGTTATCTCATTTGTGGCATATAAGAATTCATTTGCAAACTTCTTTGCTGTCTCATATATGCTTCAATGCAAGAATACTTTGTGGTTTTTATCATAATTTAACTAAAAATTTTGGGCAGATGCGTAATATGCCTGGTGACGTACAAAATCGGGGACCAACAAATGACATTGCCATGCAAGCATGTATACCACTCCAAATGTGGGAGGAAGTGGCTCAGCATAAATAAGGTAAACTGGGCTAAATAAAACTAAACAGGTGCATATTTTGTGTATATATTTCCTTTTGGCGCTTCTTTCTGATATCATGACCTGTTTTGTTGTTTTCAGACATGTCCGGTTTGCAATAGTGAAGTGTTCGGGGATGAAGTAAGGAATTGAAAACATTATTGGGCAAGCGTACAGATACAAGCTTAGTTTTTGTGTTGTCTTCATTTTTTGTTCCTGGTTCCTGGTTTTTAGGTACAGAGAGCTGATTTTGAATTTACGGCTATATAGTCACCTCCTCCTCCTCTTCTTCTAACTGATATGACCAGTTATGTCTCGTGGTACTCAGAATCTAATATAGATAGAAAAAGGTTCTAAATGTTGCCTACTGCTCGTACTATTCCCTTCTTCCCTTTGCCAATGTTGTTTTTACCTCATTGCATCAGACATTAGTGCCAAGTGGGCTGGGCTCTGTGCACTATAGATAGGGTAAGGTACTCAAATGTAACGTATGTTCTAATTATATCTTTGACCGGATCCAATTATATAATTGACAATATTACTACTAAACAATTAAGGAGTATAGGGTAATTCAACTTTTAGACAATGTTGTAGTCATATATTCATTTTGCGGGAGTGACTATAGTATGGCAATCTAGCTACAGATTATCGATTAGCTTCTCATGATCCTTCGAGACTCTGGGCTGTTACTGTGTTGTTTGTCATTTTGAGGGAGCAATTGTACACATTGAAATACTCCATGAAAGCTGGTAGAATCTTAAAATGCTGATTTATATTATTTTTTTTTGGTGCAAAGATGCTGATTTATATTGGTACGTTTGCTAGTAGTACACTAGTACTAGTAATGTCATTGTTCTCATGCTCGGTAAGTTAATATAACCAATTATAACAAAATTTAGTTATTTTTTTTATTTCCAAATAAGTTATGACAAAATTTTGTTATTTATGAGAAATAATAATTTAGTAAAAATATGATTTGTATCTCTTGTTGGTTATGGGTCAAACAGAGTTAGTGTAACCCAACATGACACAACCATTGCAAAATGAGTTATTTACAATTCGCTCCGTAGGTCAAACTTGAGAATAGAGGGGGGAGGTAAAGGAATTTCCTTACTTTTAAGCAAATTTAATTGGCGGGGCTTGAAAAAAGAACATAAATAAATGAAATCACCTCTTAGCAGCTCTGACAGCCAACCTTCCAACTCCCCACAAAATATAGTTGGTGGGGAGGTAAAGGAATTTACCACCAACTCCACCAAGCTTTGATTGGTCATATGTTATTATATTGATTATATATTTTGTGCATAGTACAATCAAAGCTTAAGTATTTTATGTATAATTAGCACAAGTTATTTGTAAAAAAAAGTCTTGTTGATACTCCGTACATTGTAAAATACAACCGGTTTTACGGTGAAAATAATCGTCCGAATGTGAATAATGTGGGCAACCCATCGTTTGTTAGCGCAATGGGATGTGGGCTACAAAATGTTAGGTATGGGTAGGCCCAAGTAGCATAGATTTGGAAAAATAAAAGAGAAAAGCCAGGTAGGAGTTACAACGGTCGAAAAGTAAATGAGAAACGCAGAAATCAGGATATTGTCTCCTTTCATCACATTCTCTTCTCTTTAACGTTGCTTCCCTCCCTTTTTTCTCCAACGTTACAACTATCACCAACCCCCCCTTTTTCTCTCTCTCCTCCATTTTTCAGTTGTCCTGTCTTTCCTCTCTCTCACTCACATTCACTCCAGTAGCTTCCTAGCTACATACATTCATACTTACATTCGAGATAGAAAATGGAGGCTGCTAAGATCGACTGGAAGAACATTGAATCTGTGTTCGTCATTGATCAAGTTTTCGAGAACATCAATGCTCCTAAATGGGTTGATTTCTTGGCTTCTCCTTCTTCTTCTTCTTCCTCATCCAATGATGTTGCTTGGTTTTGCCGCCCTGGTATGTTAATCTCTTCTTTTCTTTTCTTCCCATCTTTAGAGTAACTAATTACTTAATCTTTAATTTATTTCCTTAATTGTGATTACCATTGTTAAATCCCCAGATTGTAAGCATCCTGCAACTGCTGAAGATTTCCTCAAATCAACCCCTTCTTCTTCTTCTTCTTCTTCTTCTTCTTCTTCTTCTTCTTCTTCTTCTTTCTTCTTCTTCTTCTTCTTCTTCTTTCTTCTTCTTCTTCTTCTTCTTCTTCTTCTTCTTCTTCTTCTTCTTCTAAGGTACCTTGTTCCCTTTCTAATCTTGATCATAAAATGGGGTTTTATTCCTCTTATTGGAATTGAGATTGTGATTTTATGTTTGCAGTTGTTGAGATCTGTTAGTGTATCGAAGCTCATTGGACTTGCCGATTGGACTCGAAAAGAACCCACTCTTTTCAAGAGGCGTACTCCACCTATTCAAGATTCTGAAAATCAAAACCCTAATTTCTCAAACTCCTCAATCTTATCACCATTATTATACTGATGAAAAACCCAGATTAAAAACCCACTAATTCTGCTAAAGACTTGTTTGGTGGGAGGGACCTTTTTGGTAAAATCAGCGATTTCTGTAATGAGTTAAAGAAGATTACCAGAGTTAGGGACAAAGAGGATGAGAGCCCTGAGAAAGAGGAGGATCAATTGTCACTGCACCAAGGACAAGGGCATCTCAAACTCAATCCCAACCACTCTTACAAACCATTAGGCTCGGTCCCCGTTGCCGCCCTCGCTCCCGGCCTCAAAGACAAGGAGAACAGGATGATTGACAGTGATAATAAGGAAAGGAAGCCTTTGCTTCAGGTTAAATCTGAAGGTGCACTCAAAACCAATGCCAAACCCAAGCTCAGGAGAAACATGTATGCTTGCTTCTTCCTTATGTTCTGTGATTTTGATGATGTTCATATAATTCGAGTAGTGTAGTGTTATACCCAAGAGGCTGATGCTTCAATTGTGAATGTTTCAGGAGAGATGATGAAGCAGAGAATATCCCTATTTCTCTGAATTTGAACAATGTTAAGCGTGAGGCTAAGGTATCGCCCATACGAACGAATCCTCCTACACCTCAGGGGTTCTCAGCCACTCGTGATCCTATCAAGGCCACACCTTCAAAGGGAACAAAGTCTAAGCTCATGGTATGGATCAAAGTTCTTTTAATGATGCCAATTCTTTGAATATGATCATTTGCTTCACCTTACAGATTGTATTCTCAATGCTGGTATATTCTTTCTTGTCAAGTTGTGGATTAATTCCAATGTTGTTACTTGAATTTGCACATTACTAAATAAATCAAACTATACTAGGCCAATTTTCGGCAGTAAATTGATGAGAATCAGTGTATTGGACCTCAATCTCAACATATTATCATGCTAATTCTTAATCTATGCTACTGTTGCCTGTTCTTTTGGTGGTGCCAAACCAAGTTTTGTTTGGCTGAATCCTCACAATATTTTGAACCTCTTGATCAGTGTTTCTCTGTTCTTCTCCTTGCCAAGCAGCATAAAATCTGCAAAGTGGGTTTATCGAAAATCTACTTATTAACACTGATTGTTTTTATTCTACTAGGAAAGAGAGATTTTACAAGAATTGGGACAGAAGAAGACGCTGAGGGATGAGCTTGACGAGAACATTGAGAAGAGTGAAAATGAGAATGCATCTCTTGTTGCTGCAAAAGAAGAAGAACATTGGATGTTTTCTGGTTCTTAAAGCCTTGCACACTGTCTAGCTAATGAACACAGTTTTAAGCATAGTCATTCTTTTAATTTTTTCATATATATATCATTAGTTTATTTGGGGGGTGAAAGAAGAACAGAATCCCAATAATCCATTCAATTTGTCAAATAGCGTACATCTGTAGGTTTTGTGTTTATGTAGCTTTCTATTTTTACATTATTCATTTGTCTATGATTTTCTAATAAAGGTATACTATTCAAGCATTGTATGCGACATATTTGGTGAGTAACTGAGTAATATATTTGGTTTATTCATTTTTAACAGAACACATGTATGCGATATGATTGCTCGAGTTGTTAATTGTGTTATTTCCTCATTGCTTTGTTAGCCTTTTTGAAGATCATTGATACGGTGATCTTGGACTCACTGTCAGAAATTCTAAAGCTATGACTATAACAAACTCCGTTGGTATTAAATTATATATAGATGGTTTAACTTTCCATTCAACTTTTCCTGTGTATCTAAGCCTCTTTAACCTGACCTCCCCTCTAAACACCACTATATTACAACAAAAAGTCTTTGGAAAATCTGGTAATTTGGAGCTTAAACTTCAGATGTCACTTCAGAAAAACAAGGCCGAGTCCACATGAAGCCACGTGAACTAAATGAACCCCAAAGTCCCAAAACAGATAAGACTAGACTTTTCCTTAATCATCCAAAGTTGTAATACTACGTATTTGTAAAGTTCGTTTTGGTGTGTACGAAGTAATAGTAGGGATATCATTATATTCATGGACCATGGTATTATGGTAATGAAATAATTCATATAAAGAGAAATTCTCTACATATATTAATTTAAGTCACGAATGACTCTAATAACACGCGTTGATATTAAATTATATTTTAGATGGTATTATCGTGATACCAACATATTAATGTAATAATACCAACGAATGCAATTAGAGTTATTCAAGACTCAAATTTTAGAGGCGGAGAAATCCTCATTTTGTCCTAGTTACCAATTTGCCATAGACACAAATTCAAAATCATAGCTGAACATTTGCAAGGGAAAAAAAAAATAGATTGAATTATAAAGGAAAGGGAAAGCAGATAAAACGGAAACACAGATTCAGGGGGCATAAAGCAGGAAAGAAAACAAACAAAAGAGCAGAAAATTACAACAGCTAAAACAAGCATGAAGATTGATGATTTTCACAAATTTCAACCGATATACATGTTTTGAAATTGTGTGTGAACACAAACTAAATCAATAACAAATTACTTGTATTGATCTAAGCACTGCAAACAAACAGGATGCACAATTATTGTTTTATAATTACAAAGTAAACTATCTAACAAATCAGAAGCAGTAAGAATAATCAAACTGCAAATCACCCCACTAATCACAAATCCCACCTATACACTCTGCTTCCTACTACACAACTAACCCAGAAACATCTAGATTTTCATTATTAGCAAGGTCGGTTACAAAACCAACATCAAAAAAAAAAAAAAAAAAAAATATTCGGGTATGTACAGAAAATACTCTGATTTCAGGATTGTGGTTCAACCATCCAATTAACGAATTGCAGCTTCATCCAATCATCCAGAAAATTCAAAACTTTACCACCCAATAAAAATTAAAAAAAAGGAAGAGGAGACGTTGTAAATTGGATCTAATTGGGGGAGGAGGAAGCAGCACGGAGCAAGAACCGAAAGGCGCGGCGGAATCGAGGTACGACTCTTCTTCGATATCCGCCAGTCTCTCTCATCAACTCTTCGATTGCCGACACAAACAGCGTAAAGTGTCTCATCGGCGGCACGTAAAGCGTCAGTGGTACCGCGAGAACGCCACCGCAAAAAAGAATTGCACCACCATGATTAGTCTGCTTTGTTTCCCGCGGTAATGATAATTATGGCGTTTAATTTGGGTTTGGCGACGAAAATGGTGGATATTGAGTCATTTGTGTTTGTCTAGAAACTAGAAATAAACGGGATCACTTTCAACCTTCTTATCTTCTTTTTCTTGTCCTTTTTTATATACAGTACGTACTAATTTTACTTTTTTTAATATACACAAGTATATTCTAAAGGCATACAATGGGCTACGCTCTCTTAATGAACGCGTGGTATGTATGACAATAAATTTGATCCGTTAATTTTGTCCAAAGTTTATGAATCAACGGTGTGTCTATAAATGTTTGCCATGTGGCAAATAACTATGAGTCTACGAGTACTTTATGAGAATTTCTTTTTTTTTTTTTTTTTTTGGTAATGATATATGTAGCCTTAATTAAATACACTCTTAAGAATTGTATAAAATTAGGAATTCATGACAAAAACA